CTTGTTGAAACTAACCCCGCATTCCTCCATGTTTCATGCCCTTATAGCACGCTCCAGGTTACAGTCCCCATTTCCAGCAGGGAACAGAAATTCTTCAGAGGCATTCTTGGGGAAAAAAAGGTAACTTGTGTGTGTTAGTGATGTGCACAAACAAAAGACGAAAAAACCCCCAACCAACCTTTGTGGCTGTGGGTTTCGATCCTCTTTGTTTCACTTAATTATTTGTAGGGTTTATTTCAGGGATGTTAGGGATTTGGCCATTGGATGGCTCTAAAGGACTTATTTATGGGTGCCCAAAATGTAATGAAAAGTTTTATGTTTCAAAAATGTATTTTTATAGCACAGTTGCTAACCTTCTGTGTCACCTAGCCAGCTTGGGTTATGCTTTCACATGCACACACAAACACTGGTGCAGGTATAGGCGTAAGACAGGAGTGAGATCTGTAGGCTCATATAGCCCTGGGTGAGACTGAGCTCTGTGGCCGTCATGCCAGAGCCTTGAACTGAACAACTTCAGTTCATGCTTCTGTTCTAAGACAGTTTTGACCCAGCAGGGACCCAGTGTTTGGTACCTTCTGTGTTTAGACACGGGGCTTGGGTGACAGACTTGGAGACCTTCAGGTGCCATGATTGATTAGAGTTAGTGAGACTGCAAAAGGACTTTGCATTTGATTAATGGCTTCCCAGGCACTCAGCATTTTCAATAGTGACATAATTTATTTTTTTTAATGGATGTTTATAGTGATTACTGTTACGCTGCAGGTTTTTTATTAATCATTAGGAAGCTGGCTATCCAGGCAACTGGAATTAAATAATTTGTCTGAGAATTCATTATAATCAAAGGGGCAGGCAATTAATGACTAATTAAATCCACTGAGATGCTGTGGGAAAGGAGTGTTAATCTTGTTGCTCAGCTGTGGTGGAAAGTGGACAGATACAGAGCTGTTCGATGTTAATTTGGAAAAGATGACATTTCTATAACATAATAGGTTACTTAAGCACAGCAGTTGTGAACTTACTACAGCTATTCACTTCCCCAGGCACAATAAGCTGAAAGAACCCTTTGGATTCTTTCCCCTTCCCCAGTCTGAATTAATTATGATGACTGAGGACTTTGAAAGGTTGCAGATTCCTTTGAGTTAGGAGAAGCATCCAGAAGACGGATTGACTAGCTTAGTTGGTTGGAAAGCCTCTGGAGTGTACACTGGCTGAAATATGTAGTTAGATAGGCTCACTCACACACCAGAAAAAAATGGGAGCTGGAATAACAACACAACATTGTGATTATTTGTGGTACTGGGGCAGGACACGTTGTGGAAATCAGACCCAGATAATTACAAAACACAATAATACCCTTTAAGAAATCTTTATGATCTTGTTTTATCCAGGATACAGTTAGTCAAAAAGAAAATTGTCATCATGATCTTTTTTTTTACCTAGTTCTAGTTGCTTTTCAGAAAACAAATGCTTCATCTGTCATACTTGCTAGAAAAACACAGTGTTTGTGTGACTTTCCTTTTGGCTAGTATCTATTAGATATTCCAGTCATTCCAGTTCATAGTGAGCCAGTGTGTGTACATTGCAGTTGACAGGGTTACAACAGAAAAGCCAGGAATGAACCTGAGGAGACTAAAAACTGCTCTTGCCTGGAGTCAGTTCCTACTGGAGAGGAGAGAGGAATTTTGAAGTTCTTTGCCCAGAGGCTCTCCTGCTCCTTACAGAACCTTTCAGCAGGCCCGCCACATTCCCCAGCATGCTGAAATCAATACAGCTACCTTCATTTAATCAAACTGAAGTGGACTATCTAATGTAAAATATGGATCCCCAGTGAAACATACTCTGTTGAGTTGCTCATACCTGGACATTAGCAAGTTTCTTGGAAATCAGATCTTTCAGACTCCACCTTAATTACTCCTTGTACTTACAAAACTTAACTAGACAGAAGCCAGAGTCATGAGAAATGCCATGGTAAATCCCAGTACGGCCCAGGGAAGTTCATAATATTGTCCCTAAAAGTTCAGGGAACAGAATTTGACTTTTGGCAATAGGTTTCATGATCACTGGATCCTGACAGAGGAAGATACTCAACCTATCCCATCCTGGTTCAGGGCCGGATAGAAACAGCCTGGCATCTCTCAATAAGCTGTGCGACCTTGGAGGTTTCTTTTTGTCAAGCCCCTGCTTCCTTTCACAGCACATTTGGCCACATCACATACAGCGGGGTAGGAGGCCAGGAAATGGTCTCTAAGTGGAAAAATCTAGCTGCCACGTCTATTAACTCATCCAGCAGAATCACCTTCTCAGCGATTGTTAAAGCAGCTGCATTTTTTTTCTGATGAATTGGCTTCTATGGGCAGACAGAGAATGTTTTCAATACATCTTTGAAAAAACATTGGTTTTAATAATAACTCACTGTTTGCAGAGTAGTGTGTGACAAAATACATTCACAGCATGGATCTGGCCAGACTGGTCAGACACTAAAGCTTTCCTTCACACTAGATCTTGGGCTGAAGCAGAGCTCAGTGCAGACCTGCTGGAAGAACAAGTCCTGGTCTGATGGCCTTAGTCTGACAGGATGCAACCAGGGCTTTAACACCAGCTCTGCTGTGACTAGATGCTTGGCCTTTGTATGTGGTTATGAGCTACCTGACCCTTCACGAGATCACCAAAAGCCCCTTTTGGGACTTGTTTCTTTTTCTCAGGATGCAGTGTTAGTGTATCCATAACGTGGTAGATTCTGTCTCAAATCAAAGTTGGTTGTTTTTGTAGTAATGCTATATTCTAGTAAGTCTTGTGGTCTGGACAGTAGTCCAGACCACACTAGATCATATCGTATCAATATGGTCCCTCCTGGCTTCAAAGTCAGTGAATCTAAGTATATTCAGCTACAAAGCCTCCATTCAAGTATTTTTAACGCTGAATTTAAAAACAATACCCGATTTGAGGTACTTACTAGAAATAAACAGCATTTGTAGGCTGGCTAGCAATAAGAAAGAATGCTGCAATCCCATAGCCTTACATTCACATTAAAAAAAAAGAAAGAAGGTCAGATAAGGACAGATAGTATTTTTACAAGGAAGGAAGCTTTACAATCTCCTAGTTTGCAGCTGCTGCACCAAAACGAGTCATCAGGAGCTTTCAAACCTCACAGTTAATGTGGCCTCTCTACTGAGCTGTTGTTTTGATTGTTTACTTGGTTTTCACTCTCACCCCTTTTTTCCTCTTCTTGTGCAATAAAAACTCCATGCACTTCATGGCTGATTGGGATGCAGAAAAAGATTGGAAAAGGCACTCACAGAATTAAGTTTCTAAGCACTTATATGTGAATGCCCCGTTTCTGCTTTCATCACAAACTGGGATGCACTTAGGTTTCTAATTGTTCACTTATTTTCATAGAAAAACTGAGATTCAGATACTTTGCCTGTGAAGACCTGACTAGCAGAAATGGAAACAGTTACGAGCCCAACCTGACCCTGACGGAGGAACACAGAGTCACCTCCTTACAGGGAATACAGAGGAGAATTAAACATGTAACAGTTCAGCA